TCTCACTGGCTGAGCGAGGCGCGGGAGCAACACCGAGGTTTGCGATCCCGTTGCCGGTCCCCGGTCCGGTACGGGGGCGACACTGAGGGTTGCAATCCGTTGCCGGACACGGAAAAAAGACAAAAGACAAAAAAAAAAAAATAAAAATAAAAAAATAAAAATAAAAATACAAGCTGTATACCTTGGTGTATCAAACATTAGTAAATTTGTGTTGTTTGTAAGTTACTCAGTCTAACATATTTTGTTATAGCAGCAGGAATGGACTAAGACAAATGATTTAGCAGTGGTAAAGTTTTATTGCAACTTTTTAAGTCCAAAATCAGATTAAAATTTTTCTGAAAGAGAATTACTTCAGAGAACACTGAATGGTTAGAGAAATTTTTTCCTGCACATTTGACCATGTTGCTTAATGAGCATATTACCAATTTAACAGGATAAGACATTGCTTATATGCGAAACTTAATGCTGCATTTCTGTGTATAGTTTCAATGTGTCAGAACTTGCTCCTCACGTAAAATTAATACTCATATAATCCCAACTTGCAGAGGTAGTCTCTGAACAGATGTACAACTAACTGTTCTGACTTTGTGTTGCACCTTTATTGAAAAGTAGGTAAAAAAAAATTTGTGGCTCAGCACTTGAGATTTTTGTAGGCCTAAATTCTCAATCCTTTCATTACATCACCTATATTTTCCATTACAACTTCCAGAAGATATGAGAATTTTTAGTCCTTTCCTCACATTTGTGGGGGAAAGGAGGAAAAACACAAAAGCTCAAAAAACTATTCTTATATTTAGATAAAATATTATTAAGAATTTTTTTTTTCCTGACCTCCATTTTGTAGTAAGGTAAGCTATCTTTGTTTCTTGACAGGTAACTAAAGCTGGGGTAGACTATGATTAGGTTTACTGGCAACAAAACTATGCTTGGTGATGACCTGCTATGGTGGGAAAAGAAGGGGGGCAGGGGAGAAGAAAGTAGATAATCAAAGGAGGGTGGCAATGACTAAGGCATAAGTTTTTTTCAGAGAAATATCAGTCTACACTGTCTGGAGTCCAACACCAATAGAAACACATTTATTTAAGATATTCAAACCAGACTGACAGAATTTGATTAAGAAATTAAGTAAGTATAATAGATTCTATATGATTAGGTCACTCAGAGACAAAAAAAGATGCCTGAATTGATTAATGGTTTATACTGCTCTTGCTTGAGATATCTGATCCAGTGAATTCTTACAATCAATAAATTAGATTGATATTACATTTAACTTGAAGGAACAGGAAAAGATGAGAAAAGCAAAATAACTCATTCAAATTCCACTCAATGAAACTTAGAACTCAAACCCAACTGCATACAGTACTAGACTTCTAAAACAACTTGAAAAAAAAAAAAAAAACCAACGTCTACTCTATTTTAAAACGTATTAAAAAGCTACAGTAATCAAGCCATTGTGCTGTTGCCCAAAGAGACAGACACCCAGATCAATAACAAAACAGAAAGATGAACCTAGACATAGACATACACAAGTCTAGTCAACAGAGTTTCAACAAAGAAGCATTAATGGTTCTGGAGCAACTGGATATCCATGAGAGAAAAAATAAATCTTGGCCTAAGTTTCACAACTTATGTAAAAATTACCCACCCCCCAAAAAGGTAATTAAAAATTATGTTAATCCATACTGTTGGGATGTTTCCCAATCTCAGTCTTTCACTTATATGTTCCAAGAAATGCAAATCACACCCATAGTTTCAAACCACACATATTTTATTTTTAACAAAAGTAATCAAATTAAAAACAGACAACAGTTTCAACAAAAAATTTCTTTTTTATTCTATTCTTCTTGGCCTTAACAAGTAATTACATCATATTTATCTTTTCTTACAATGTGGACCAAGTGGAGAAAAGAAAAGGAGGTAGAATGAAGTTAGAAGTCCTGAAGCACCAAATTATTTTAAAGATACACAAGGACAGAAACAAAGAGAAGTACAAAAATAAAGAGGAAAAAATAATAATGAGATATACTTGGTCTTTCTCAAGTTTATTTTCCCTTATCTAAATAAACTACAATGAACCTTTTTTTTTTTTTAAAGATGACCGGTAAGGGGATCTAAACCCTTGACTTGGTGTTGTCAGCACCACGCTCTCCCAAGTGAGCGAACCGGCCATCCCTATGTAGGACCCAAACCCGTGGCCTTGGTGTTATCAGCACCACACTCTACCGAGTGAGCCACGGGCTGGCCCTACAATGAACCTAACTTAGAAAATCATTCCCTTATGCTAGTCCCAGAAATATTGCTGGCAAGAGACTTCTGAGAAAAGACATAAATGGAATAGCCCTTAGGAACTGAGCTTTAAACAATAATTCCACTGTTAAGAGTAAGGACATTAAAAATCTGAAGAGAAAAATTCTAGATAGGGAATAAACCCCTTCTTAGATTCTGGCCAGGAGGAAGTGGGATTAAAAAAAAAAAACCAACAAAAAACTTATGCTGCTGTCACAAATCTTGCTGATAAGGGTAGGACAGGTGTAGCAAAGTAAAAGAGGCTGAGGTGTCTGAATCCTTCTGTTGTAAGCTATTTTGGCTTCTTTTCAAGAAGGGACTGTGGTCTGTTGAGGGTGTCAGGAACATATTTTCAAGGTCTGCTTTGTCCTTACACTGTTCTTCCTCCTTAGGCTTAACCCCTGAGCTCCGGGTCCTTTTTGACTCCTGCTCTTCTTGAATTAGATCATCACACTTCCTACCCTGATCCACTTGCCGCCGCCGCCGCCTCTCCAGTGCCCGACCCCTTGTACGATTCCCTTGATACTCAGGCTTCTCCAGCTATAATCATACACAGATAAACAGAAAGATAGGTTGTGGGCTAGTGGTAAGGCCTGGGAATACTGCCTGCTTGGCCTGACCATTTTGCCCTGCCCATGACCCTTATCCTCACCTCCAGAAGTGTGCGGATCCGTTTGAGGTCTGGAGGCTGCCCAGCCTGCAGCAGCTGCCAGATGCTGTGGTTCTCATCCAGGGTCACTTCCAGGAGGTCCCCCTCCACCATGAGCTCCTCCAGGGGGGCCCGTGTAGCCTCAGGTAGTTCCAACACAGGGCCAGTCAACTGTGGCAACAGCGAAGACAGGAGCCCCAGATCTGGAGGGTTGCAGGAACAGGCTGGGTTAGAGACTGCCCCTGGTCTATTCCCACACCATGACAGGGCTAAGTACCACATGGGTTACTCTGGTGAAATCCAGTCAACAGCCTACCCACACTACACCTAGACCTACCTCTCTTACCTGAGACCTCCTGCAGGGCTACCTTCTCAGGACTGGTCATATTGTATCCATTTTGCAGCAAGCCCTGGACCTGCCAAGGAGAGCAAGAGTGGGAAGGGATAACTGAAGCAAAGTACCAGTGCCTAGTCTTTCTCCCCAACCCTGAACTTGGGACACTCCATCTCTTGGAGGAGGAAAAGAGCAGACATAGGCTACAGTAAGGAGTAGAGTTTAGTGACCTGGATGGATGCAGAATGCAGCAAGGAGGCTAGGCAAAAGGAGACTGAACTCTGGAGAACAGGGGCAGGGCTGAAACTTAATAGGGGTGAAGCTAAGAGCCAGGAACTTGAGGAACAGGGCTGAGCAGCTCACCTTACGTATATCCTTGTCACTGCCTTCTCTAAGAGGATCAGAGGCAGGTGCTGAAGGGTATGTAGGGTGCTCTGTGGACCTGGATTCAGCCTGTAGCTGTTGGCGAAGCTCAGCCAGCCGTTCCAACAGAGCAGTCACGTCCTCAGAGGCCAGAGCCTGTCTGGCACGGCCCTGCCAGCCCATGGCCCTCTCTGTGAGGCACTGTAGGGCCTCACCTTCAGGCAGCCGCACAGGCAGTCTCTGCAGGGCTACCAGCAGTGCCAAGATGGTCTCCAGCCGTGGGCGCCGTGAGCGCATACATAGCGGACACAGGAATTTGGTGTCCCATTCCCACCAGGCCAGCAGTGGGGATGAGGTGGGAGTGGGCCTCGGGGAGCTGAGGAGACGGGGCACTGATACACACTGCCCATGGAACCAGTCCTGACACAGGTCACATTGCAGAGCCCCCACCCCAGCTGGCACCTGCCCACACACACAGATGGAGGTTGCAGAGGCAGCTGTGGTCAATGATGCCAGTGGACTGGGCTTGGCTAAGTTGGTGCGACGCAGCTGCAAGATTCCTTCCTTCTCCTTCTGTTCCCCCTCCTTGAAGGCCATAATCTGCCATGCCCACGATAGGGGGAGAGTAGGTCAGAAGCCCATTCTTTCTCTTTTTGGGTTCCCTTCACACCCCACACCCAAACCAGAACTGAGGCTAAGGGAGCAAGTGGTCTGCCATGGTCATCTGGCTCACATACTCTACCATTCCCAAGGTGTCCTCTTTTCAGAGAGATACTCAGAACAGAACTTTAACCAATCTGTGCTAAGCTCCTTACCACAGAGCCTGGGTCCCTGAGGTCCTGTGCAGATAGCCCCAGCAGTTCTGTGTCAGATCTGTACAATCCTAGCTCCTTCTCCATCCACCGGCTACGCTTGGTGCTGTCTGAGCCAGCATCTGCACATGGGCAGAGCACCTGAGACACAAAGACACACGGAGAATGAGTGCTTCCCCCGGCTCCCACACCCTGTCCTCATCTCTCTAGTGCTCCCCAAAAGTCCATATTCTTATATGAGTTGTCTCACAACAGCCAGGCCAGGGGCAAGAAAGGATGTGGGTAAGAGTACCAACCCTTACCTCCAGCAGTGTGTAGCAAGAATTCTTCTTGAGGAAGGTCTTAGAGGCCTTCTCCCTCCAGGAGTGTGCTGTCAGTACCTGTAGTTCTAGCTCTCTCAGCTCTTCCAGCCCCACGGGTAGGTCCCGACCCACAGCTACCAGGCCCTCCAAGTCATCCAAGCAGGGGTAGTGGTCACCATTCTGGGGACAGGTATGATAGAAAGCTCAGTCAAATTATGTCAAACAAATATTGTGTATAGATTTGTGCTGAGTAATGCTGGGTATTATGGTGCATAATCATAGGGCAGAATACAGACTGTGAAAGGGAAACAGTGAAAGAGAAAAATGAGGTAGTAACTACTTTTCTCTCATAATTCCTACTTTCATTGGTTTAGAACCAAAAATTCCACTTAGGCCAGTTACTCTGTTCTGGTTTGCTTCCTCTGTCTCCCCTAATATGTCAATAGTCTTTGTTCAGCTCTAGGCTCATACACATGGTTCTCCTTCCCCTTGTTCTTTCCCTGATATCCTTAGCTCCCTCAGGCAACCCTCCAACTGCCCACCTTCACTTTCTACCAGAACCGAACTGAGAAAAAAGTCTAAGGTAATAATGTTTCTCTTCTAGTTGCAGGCCCGCAGTAGGAAACACACTCCTCACTTGAATCTCATCCACATCAGCAATCCAAGCCTGTGCCTTAGTCAGAGCTTCTTTGAGTGCCTGGATGTTAGGCAGGTGAACAGGGATGTTTTCTGACTCATGAATAATAGCTTCCAATGTGGCCAGTGGATGCTTATGCCTAAAAATGTTAAGGAAAAGAGAAATCTATCATTACATGTTACAGGTATGTATGTACCCTTTTTGGTCCCAGTGCTAAAAGCATAAACAATAAAAAGTTTGATAGAGTAAGTGAGCAACAATGCTCATAATATGAGAGACTGTGAACACTGGAGGGAAATAAATTCCTTATAAGTCATGTTTCATATCCATTTTCTGAGAACTCAGCCAAGGAATATTTCCTCAATTAATGCCTTTACAATAGTAAAAAGTTTAGCAGATACCTAACTCGGAGTCTAGTGCCCAAGGTCACCTGTAGAAACCATACTAAGGATCGCCTCCAAACACTGACAACTATGTTCAAAATACAGATGGGGAGAGGCTGGGCCCCACCTGGCTTCCAGGCAGAAATGGGCCTTTTCTTCCCAGCGCTCTGCAATGGACAGCAGTTCTTGTAGCTCAGCCCGGGCCTTCTCCACAGAAGGGCTGGAGGCTATCTTGGCACCCATAACCAATAGCTCCTGCATGATAACCAGAGAGCCCCTTTGGGCTGAAGGGGATAGTGCCTGCTTCACTTCATCTAGCCATTGCGCCTGCTCCACCTGCTCCTTGAGTTGATGAGCTTCAGGCACTTCCACACCCAGCTGCTGCCCCCTCTCTAAAAGGGACTGCAGTAGGCCTGGACTAGTAGGTAGTGAGGCCAGAGCCTGACGGACCTCAGCTTGGTAGGCCTCCACCTGTTCCAGGATATCCTGCAAGGGGGTAAAATAAAATGCAGATTCTTTAACCATCTAGGTATTCAACCATTTGGCCTTGATCAACTCTCCATTTTCTCTCATAGGTATTTACTGTTGCTTTACACTTATCCTCAACAATATCTTCAGACAAAATCTACTTGATATCAATAAAGACCTTTTGTTTACCTAGAATCTCCCTTTTCTCCTTTAACTATCTGAAATTTACTTTTCTACACTTACTTTAATACAACCTTATCTCTCTAGGAAACCTCCTGACACCCCGAAGAGTGAAAAAAATCCCCCCATCCATTATATTCTCTAAACCTAAAAGACAGACTTTTTTGTTGCCCTCTGTTTAGTATCTTTAATTATTTTGTTTGGAAAGATATCCCTTGTATTGCAACCTGTGAGGATAGAGACATTATGGGATCATCCATCACTATAGCTTTTAGGAAATATCCTGGCATTATAAGAAGCTGTTTAGAACAATCAGGTCCTTAAGCTTCCCTGATCTCTTATTCTTCTCAGCATCTCTAGTTAACAAAAATTCCATCTTGCCAGGTCCCTCCTCACCTTGACATCCCTAATCTGATGCATGGCACAGGGCAGGCTGCCCATCTGCTTGAGAAGGACCCGAAGCTGAGTTAGGGTGAGTTGAGGAGTTTTCATCCTGTAGGAGCCAGGGAAAAAGAACTTGCTCAGTGAACCTGCTCAGGCCACATTTCAGGCATTTTGAGAACTTGAACATCCTTATTTCTCCTCCATGTTATAGTCATATCTGCAAAGATTCTTTTCTAAGTTCAGACACTGAACCAGTAAGTTAAGACAAAAAAAGACTTGAAGACATTTTACAGCTGGTAGAAACTATTAGTAGAGAAGAGATTGAAAATATCAAAGTGAGTTTCTGAGAAAATGTAACAGTATGGAGACTGGTACCAAAACAAAGATGATTAGTACCATTAGCTAAAGAATAAAAATAAATACAAATAGGTTTCTTTCCAAGAGAAAACAAAAATTTAAGAAGGCCTCTAGACAGCTTAAGTTCTACTTCCTATAGTAATTCAGTTAAGAGTCACTGAACAATGAGAAAGAGACTTAAAAATAAATAGCCAATAGGTTGTAGGAGCAGTGACTAAAGATGATAAATCTGTTAACTCAGAAATTGAAGTATAAGAATCTTTAAACAAAATACAAATGTAAGTATTAAGAAGTAAGAGTGTTCAGTGATGATACAAAATGTTCAAAGTAATAGATTACTCTAGATGAGAAAAAATAATAATTTTAGAATAATAATTTCTAATATGTAGAAGTTAAACAGTTCTGAATTTGTAAAGGGTGATGAAAATCAACCACATTGTATAATGATAAATAAAAAAATAAAGTAAAATAAAGTAAAAAAAAAAGAAGTTAAAACACTAGACTTTGGGTATAATTGTCTATAAGAGGAAGAAGAATTAAAAAGGCCAGAAAGTCAGATGCATGAGGAGACCCTGAAGTAGATTAAAACCAGAAGTATTAAAACTTGAGGCCATCTGACATGAGTACCATGAAGTCAAGGTGGAAATGCTTTATTTCTTTTAAAGCCGAGGGGACAAAAGCAGTTGTCTATGAAAAGGAAATTTACTTATTCTCAAATTTTAATTTTTCATACTATGAAGAAATTGAAGAATCAGAAAACAGATTAAGCACAAGCAGGAGTACTTAAAAGCATGCGAAATATAGCAAACCCTTGAATAACACACGTTTGAACTGTGCAGGTCCACTTATAAGCTAATTTTTTTTTTTCAATTAATATATTGGAAACCTTTTGGTTAGAAATAATGTACCTAACCAAAAGTTAAGTAGCCTACCCAACACTAGGCTATTAGATTAACTTAAGTAAAACAGCACAGTACTGTTATCCAGAAGAAAGTATACAACATACTATACAGCAGTTAAGTGTGGCATAGATGAAGACAATGAGGAAACTTAAGGAAATTAGCTAAATACAGAACCCTGAAAATCCAGGCGACACAGAAAGGTAAAAATGCAATCTGTCTTCTCAGTATCTGTGTTCTCAGTTATAGCTCAGGCTAACAACTTCTTAATAAGGCTATTTTAGCAGCTTTCTCATCAGTTTCTTTGTTTCAAATCAGGTCCTGTCCAATCTACAAACTGGTCTGACATAATGAACTTTCATATTTTACTATGTGCTTCTGCACTTTAAATCCTTCACTGTTTCCTCAAAGTCTGCAGAAAAATAATTCAAATTCTCAGCATCAGGTTCAAAATGATATCCCTGCTTTATTTTCTTGATGTTACACTGACACTAAACCAAATGACAATTCCCTATTACATCTAAAATTCCTTACTACACCTTTAATTTCTCACAGTAAATTTTAAAAAATTAAAAAATTAAAAATACATGAATTTCATCTGAAATTTACAAAGCATAGGTATATAAATAATCATTTACTTGATTTTCCATCTGAAAAGTAGATGTGTTTATTATTACATACTTCTGGCAACCAATAGGTAAATAAAATGAGAATTTTTTTAACCTCTAAAATTTTATCCAGCTACAGTCTTGAGTAAACTTTATAGGAATTCTGATGCCTGAACAATTTTATGAGATTTGCTATCAAGTTGGGCAGGACTGCAACTCTGCAACTGCATATTCATTCCCATTGCCACTGATGGTGAGTGAATGTCTGAAATACATCATTACATTTAAAATTGTTTCCTTCATGGATTTCTGGTTCACATTACACTATTTTCTGTTGATGTATTATTATCTACCCATTTCTCACTGTAACTTGCCCACTGTTCAGTCCACGCTTCTTGAACTATGTTATCTATAGTTGGTTAGTCACCAACAGGGCCATATATGACCTACTAATTTTTGCTAGCATATGCTTTATTTATAGTCTATCCACTTCTGTAGTTCATTTTCATACATGCTACTCTTCTTTGCTCTCTCCTCTAACATACCTGGCTACTTGGCAACTGACCAGCCCCAGGACTTGGGAAACACAAGCCTCTGCCACACTCAGACAGTTCTTCAATCGCTGAAGCAGTTCACTATTAGGATACCTTCTCTCACGAGCCTCAGACTCCAGTGCCCTTAGTTCTTCAAAGCCTAGAAAGAGTTAAAATTGCAAGAGGTAGGCAGTGTCTTGGAAAGACCCAAAAGGGAGGCTGAGAGTACTAAAGAACGAGAAATAGAGTTTGCTCAACAGGTCCTTCCATTCCCCATCACTCACTGCGCTTCTGCCCATCCTCCACCTCCAGGGCCACTCGCACTTTGTTGGCCCAGGTGTCAAAAGACTCAGCCCGAATCTTTAGCTTATGTAGCATGGCAGGGAGCTCATCCAAGGTATAACGATACCTGAAGGAAAAAACAGCAGGAAAAAGCCTGTCTGGCCCATCTCTGCATCCTATTCCATGTTCTCTATGTAGGCCCCAGGCTCACCGCAGGTACTGTCGGCTACTTGAGCACTCGCAGAGGTCATTGATGTGGGAAAGGCAAACAAGCCCATCTGGACAATCATAGCAGGCCAAGGCTGATAGGAAGCATGTGGTCTTGCACTTGATACACTGGCGTTCATCATCTGGGAGCAACTCGAAAGCCTCTCGCTCAGCCTCCGTGATGCCCTGGGGATGTTTAACCCACATGTACTGTAAAGACTAGGAGCAAGGTTGTAGACACCCCACCTCAGTCAATAGTGAGCCCTGCTGTGGGTTCAACCTTGTAAGGATAGATGTAGAGAAACTGGGAGGAAAAAATGTAAACACATACAGTCTTTTTCTCTCCATTTCAAAATGCATGACTTAAAAATCAGGCAGAGTGCTTACTCAATGTTGGTCTGTGTTACCCCACCATAGTACACTTGACTGAATCCTTGAACCCTGATCTCCACCACCAACCTTCTCCAACAGGGCTTTTCGTAGTCGTCGTTCCTCCTGTACCATAATAAACATCTCCTTGTGCACAGCCACTGCTAGATTCAGATCCAACTTCTCTGGGAAGGAAGCCATCTTGCAGATGAGCTCCTCATGGGAGAAGACACAATAGCGCCGGAGCCGGCGGTAGTGTTCAATGCACTGGCGTCCAGCAGGTAGCTGCAAGTGTGTTCAAGACTATGTGTGGCTATCTGGAGACCATGACATTCAGTTTCTCCACAATGATCCCAACCCATGTTCTTCACACCTTTCTACTTTCAGGCCCACCACATTTCTGACTCACCCAGTCAGCAGTGCAAAAGTTGACAGCCTCGGCAAAGTTGTAGCCTTGGTTAAACCCACTGTGGTAAGCTCGAGGGAAAGTGATCACAAATTCCCCTGCACACTGGTTTGTGCGAACAACCTGAAAAGGAAAAAAAAAAAAAACAGAAAAGGGTGTGATAAAATTTAAGGATTTAAGATTGTCTCCAAGTCCTGTTATAGATGGAGGGGAAAAGCAGAAACAAACAAAGGTTTTATCTTCAAAAGTATGTACTTAAAAGGAAAATGAGATTGTGAAGGTTAAAAATGGTAATTTAACAAAAAGTACAAGGAAAAATAATGTGCAATTCAAGAAACACAAAGGATCCATAAACAAGTGAAAAAGATTGTTAGCTCTTCAATAAACAAAGAAATGGAAACTTAAAAAGTCAGAGATAAGTCACCAAAAGAGTTGACAATGAAAGCTCTAAAACTTTGTCTCTCTACTAAAACAATGCCTTACCTGGCAAAAAGTGTCAAAACATTTCAAAACTCTAAAATAAAAGCACAAACTTACAAAAACCAGGACTCTTAATGAATTAAAATAATTTCTGAGTTTTGGTAAAATAGTGTTGTGATGTTATAACCTACCTGCATACATACCCCCCACACCCATGTCAGCAGCTACCTTGGGGACAGCAGCCTGACATGCTGGTGCAGCTTGCTGTGTAGAGTACAATGTATACCATGTTTGCAAAGAACTAAGGTGATATGTTTTGACCTGCCTGATGGCTCCCTGTAGAATCAACTCAAGGGGCCAACTTTACTTCAGGAAACCTGAGAGTTTCCTCACAACAGGAGAGGCTTGCAGGCTATGTTTGATGAAGGTATGTAAAGGTAAATGTATTACTCACATCTACCTGTGATAAAGAGAAAAAAGACTGGGCAAGCAATAGACATTCTAAAATGAATGGGAGGAAAAGGCTGGGGAAGAAGGTCCTTGGGGGAATAATGGCTCTGAAAAGCTCCTGTGTATTACTAGGAACTCAGAAGGCCACATGCATGTCCAGGGCAAGATGCATGCTTAGAAAACATGCTAAGAGGACACTAAGTTCTCAACTCTGTCTGATTTTCATGCTCCACCCAAGCAGAGGTAAAGCTTAAAGCAGTTTTTAAATAACAAAAAGTTTCTCAAAACAGAGACAATCTGCAAATAGAGACAAGACTTGGGAGAGTATTTTTTTGTGACTGATTTAAGGAAAACATATTATGAGATGACCAACATACTAATAGGACAGTGAAAAAGAATACAAACTTTACAAGACTAGCCCAGTATATAAAAAGATGCTCAACATCATTAGTCATTAGGAAAATGCAAATCAGTACATGAGACACTACTTCTCACCACTATGACAGCCATAAAAAAAGAGAAGTATTGGTGAGGACGTGCAGAAACTACCACCCCGTACATAATGTTAGTGGAAATGTAAAGTGGCCATAAAGCTGCTGTGGAAAACAGTTTGAAGGTTTCCTAAAAAGTCAAACTGAGAAGTAGCATATGACTGTGCAATACCCTTCTGATAATACCCTAAAAATTAAAAGCAGGAACTTAAACGAATACATGTGTATCAATTTTTACAGCAGCACTATTCAGAACAGCAAAATGGTAGAAACAACCCAAATGTCCACTGACAGATGAATGGACAAACAAAATGTGATCCATCTATATAATGTAGTACTATTCAGTCTTCAAAAGCAATAAAGTACTGACACATGCTGCAACATGAATGAAACTTAAGGAAATTACACTAAGTGAAAAAAGCCAGATATAAAAGGTCATGTTCATGTGTTACATAGGTTCCTACTATAAGAAATATCCAGAATAGATAAATTCACAAAGACAGAAAGTACATCTATGGTCCAGGGACTAGAAAAAAGAGTGAATGGGACTAACTTAAAGGGTTTAAGGTTTCTTTTTGTGGTGACAAAAAAGTTCTGGAACTATACAGAGATGATACTTGCAAAACAGTGTGAATGTACTATATAGCACTGAATTGTTCACTTTAAAATAGTTAATTTCTGTATTAGGGAATTTCTCCAGAAAAAGAAATCAATTCAGAAAAGTCACTAACCAAACTGCTACTACTATAAAAAGCAAAACAACAAATATTAGGGAGGGGGCAAGGGGAAATACCTTGATTTCTAGAGTTGCCACAATATAACACTCAAAATGTTCAGTTTAAATAAAAAAATTAGAAGGCATGCAAAGAAACTGGAAAGTATGGACCTTCAGTGCAGAAGAACCCACCAATCCCACAGGTAGCCCAGGCATTGAACTTATCAGACAGATACAGATCAACTCTCTTAAATAGGCTTAAACAATTAAAGAAAGCAGTACACACAAAACTAAAGAAAATCAAGAGAATGATGTCTCTACCAAATTGAGAGCCTCAATAAAGAAGTAAAAATTATAAAAATGTAACAAATCAAAATTCCCACAACTTAAGTAAAAAATTCACCAAAGGGTTTCAATAGTGGATTTAAGCAACCAGAAGAAAATAACTTAAAGCCATAAGAACATAATGAGACCGATAAACGCACCTACATGGGCAAATAAAAAAGCCAGTATTACTGTATTTTTTGCTTATAAATCTTCACATTGTCCTTATAATCGAAAATAAAAATTCATGAAAAAATAATGGGCAAACAAAGTATAAAGATAAAATTTGTGAAAATAACATATGATGAGAAACAGAACTATACAGAAGTAAAGCTTTTTTAACACTATTGACTACGTTAGTACCATTTCATCTAGCCTGTTATAAATTAAAATATTAATTATAGTCACTAAGGTAACTACTAAGAAATAACTAATATATAAAATAAAAGAAATGAAAGGGGCATCAAACTGGGATCTTAAAACAAACCAGGATCATTGAAATGGGTTATTAAATCACAAAAGAAATAAAAGAACAATTGAGGAAACAAAAAAGACAATATATAGAAAGTAAATAAAATAAAAAATAAGTCCTTCGTTAACTTTAAAATTACACTGTTAAAGCAAAAATTTGCTAAATGAGTAAGAAAACTTGTCCCAGTATGCATTGTCTAAAACAGTCTCACCTTAGAAATACATAAATAGGTTGAAAATAAAAGGATGGAAAAAGATATTCCATGCAAACAAAGACCAAAAGAGAAGTGGGGTAATTATAGCAGCATTAAACAACAAAGTCAAAAACTATTACAGGAGACCAAAAAAGGTAATTAGATATTGACAAAAGGGTTGATGCAGCGAGGAGATAAATGAAATAGAGTATAAAAAAATAGTAGAGAATCAATAAAATCAAAACTTGGTTCCTTGAAATGATTAAAAAAATTGACAAACTTTTAGCTAGCCTGACTATAACAAAGAAAGAGAGAACTCAAATTATTTAAATCAGAAATGAAAGTGAGAACATTCTTACCAAATTTAGAGAAACAAATAGTATGATAAGAGAATACTGCTAAAAACTGTACACCATCAATAAATACTCTAGGTAAAAAAATGTGTGGGACTGTGTGCTTAGTATATGTGAGACAAAAAAACCAATACTGAATAATAGAATCACAAGACAAGACAAATGGTATTACTAGAGAGCTTGATGATTTCATTATAATCAATACTCAGATTTATTTTGTTATAAGACATGACTGATGTTAGAAAAAGGAAAAAAAGGTGCAAGTGAGAACTCACAAAATGTCAGACCAGGAAGAGAACTTTGGAAATGTGAAATCCATTTTGTTTAGATAAAAAAATATTGAGATAGCCAAAAAGGTATGAAAAGTTGTGTAGGGGTTAACCCAGAGCTTACAAGAAGTTAATATAAGAAAAGTGTATCACGTTGCAAGATACTGAATGTCCTACTTATTTTTTAGCACCTAAAAATTTCTGGCTTATTCTTTTGAAAAATGAGCTGATATCAATCAATCCTGGATATTCCCCAAAGTCTCAAACCACTCCCTTATCTCCATTTAGATTTTTTTATAAAATTGAAATTAATATCCAGTAATGTTAAGAGAAAATCAATCCTAGATGAGGTGGCAGATTAAAAGACCAGGATGCAGATTTTACTCTTTATGTTGTTAAATAATTACCTGACCTCTCCTTTCTCTTCCTCTAAGATATCCCAGTGGACTGTACAGAATTGCAACTTGACGGCAAAGTGGAAAAGGGAAAGAAAGGTGTGACACTAAACCTAGTCTCCACAGCAAAATGTACATAACTTTATTTCCTCCAAAGATAAGTTTTTTTTCTCCAGGACAGGCATTAAATTTGTTTTACTCCTTGCCCCTCATTTCCAGGTACTCACTGGCACACCATGGGACATGAGAGTGTTGGGATTCATGAGGGTGACAAGTTGGTGTAGGAGATCAGGTTGGCTATCAAACAGCTCAGGTGTCAGCCTCTTCATCACCTCCTCCAAATGTTCTGCTGCCAGTGAGGGTACTCCATACCAGGTCTTTGGCTCACCCCTGCTCAGGTAAAGAGGAGACATAAAATCTGGATACATCATCCTTGCATAAGAGGGAATCTTACTATCCATCCCAGCCATTGGGGCCCTGCTCACCAGTGCAGGTAGTTAATGGAGTAACTCCAGTGATCCTCAATATGCCAACAAAATGCTGAGAAAACCATGCCCACATACAGCCAGGGCACCTTCATCCCTGAGATGTCTGCATTGATGTGGCAGAGAACAGACTGATCCAGCACTGGCATCACATTCAGGTTCCAACCACTGGTTGCATACTCCTGTTGGGCCAGAGATTTGCCAGAATGGGTAGGAAGTAGAATTGGGTGAAGAAAGGCAATATGAGCCATCCATTCATAGGAAGACAACTATGTCCTGAAGGCATGCTCCTTATTAGTATTCATGGTCCCGCAATGGGTTCATGTATAATATCTGAATGGAAATCTTTTCTTATGGGGAGAAACAGCAATGTTACCAAAATATTAATTATTCACAATTCAGATTCATATTAAGATTCATCTTCCCCCAGAAACTAAGAACTCTTCATAAAAATTTTTAAGGCCACTTAACCCAATTTACCAGCTACCTGTTATGCTCCAAATACTCTGCCTGGCCTCTACTTAAAATGTACAGCCAACATAATGTTATTCCTTCAGTACTTCTTACATTTCAATATCATAATCATATTTTCTTTTTATATGTTTGTTAGTGGTCAAATAAAATGTTATGCTCTGAATCTTACCCACATCTTAGTACTACAGTAGGTACTTTCCATAGGATATTTCAGGCTCTCCTCCACTCCAAATCTACTAAATTATTAAACATACTATGATTTGTTTATTTTTTAATTTGGTATGTTTTGAAACCCAAGATATTAATACATTTTTTGGAAATATCAAAAAACTGTTGGCTGGAGAGAGATGTCAGTGAAATATCAGAGTAGTGTTTGTTTTGACCTATCTGGGAGCATGCTTTAAAACCGATACAAAGGACTTATCTCTATTTTACCTAACTCAGAACTCTCTCAGGGATGAAAAGCAGTTCTTTGAAGAGCATTTCTCCAAAATACTGAAAGGCAACTGAATTAGCTATACCCTCTGAGACAGATAACAGTTGGGGCAAAAACCAGACATGACAAAAAGGCTGGAAATAAAATGTTTTGGGGATTAAGGGTTTTAAAAGATACCACATATTACAAGGAATCTAGAAGACACATATACCCATGATAAGAAGAAAGCTCAGAAATGATCTCAGATGTTTGTCAGGTTTCACCTGTGGCTGACCTTCAAGTTCTGTGTAAGCAGGAAGTGAAAGCTAAGGGAAAGTTGTAAATGGACAACTAAGTGCTGAAAGGTCACACACAGAGCCAATCTGGAAGAGTATTCAAAGACAACATGTGGCAAAAAATATAGTCTTAGCAAAAACAGTTTAATAAAAACAAATACAACCCACAAGCAGCAACAACAACAAAAAACCGTGAGGGGGAAGAGAATCTGATTTCTAGTTACCACACTAAAATGTACAAAATTTCCAGTTGTCAACAAAACTGGACATGTGCAAAAAAAGAAATAACAAAATAATCCCTGAAAAAGAAAAGACTTGAACTTTCTAGTAAAAGACTAAATTAACTGTCTAAACATGCTTAAAATGCAAAGCAAGCCATGGACAAAAATAAAAAAAAATTAAAAAAAAAAAGACAGCAATGTCTTCATAAAGAGTCTCAATATAGTAACAGAAAGTATGAACAGTATCTACTACAAGTTCTGCAGCTGAAAAGTACCAAAACTAGAGTGGAAATTTCACTAGGTGGGTTCAACTAGATTTGAGCAGATTTGAGCAGGCATAAGAAAATATCAGCAAACCTGACAATCAGCAAATTTGACAATAGGTCAAATCAGATTATCCTTTCTGAGAAGCAAAAGAAAAAAAGAATAAAGGAAAATGAACAGAGCCTAAGATGATATAAAGAAAAACAATATATACACAATGAAATCCTAGGAGAGGAGAGAGAGAAAGAAGCAGAAAAAATATTTTAAATAAGACTAAGAACTTCCCAAACTGGACAGAAGACATGAATCTACACATCCAACAAGCTCAGTGTAAGGATAAACTCAAAGAGTTTTATATTGAAAGATGTCATAACCAAAGTGCTGGAAGCTAAAGAGACTCTTACAAGCAACAAGACAGAAGTAACACCTTTCCTATAAGGTATCCTCAATATGATTAATAGCTGATTTCTGTACAGAGACCATAAGATAGCAAAACGACAAAATGAAAGTCCTAAAAGGACTATCCTTTAAAAATGAAAGACAAGTTAGTACATTTCCAGAGAACCAAAATCTGAAAGAATTGGTCACTAGCAGACCTGTACTATAAGACATGGAAAAGAGAGTTTTTTAGGCAAAGATGAAAAACACTGTATAGTAATTTAAAACCATACAATTAAAGACAGCAAAGGTAACTTCACATAGAAAGGTAAAAGCCAGTGTTATTGTATTTTTGGTTTATAACTTCCCTTTTATGCTCCTGTCATATGAAACTCAAATGTGTAAAACAATAACTATACATCTATGTTAATGGGAACACAATTTATTAAAATGTTATCTGTTAAAATAACAACAAAAGGATGGGAAAGACCCTGCTTAGGAAAAAAGTTTTTATATATTGTTGAAACTAAGTTGGTATTAATTCAACCTCGGCTGTTTTAAATTTTACATATTAGGTGTAATCCCCTAGGTAAATAATAATCATATTTGAAAAACCCATAAAAATCTATTTAAAAAAGAAAATAAAAGAGAATCAAAATGATAAATTATAAAAAAAAATCAAACACAAACAAAGCAATAATGAGGAACTGAGAATAAAAAATGTGAGACAAGGAGAAACAACATATAACAGAATCAAGTTCTTTATGATCAGTAAATATCTTAAATGTAAATACATTTATATCTCCAGTTAAAAAGCAGAAATTGGCAGAATAGAGGAAAGGCATGACCCATCCATAAAGTGAGTCTTCGAGAGATAAACAAAAAGATATTTCATGTAAATAGTAACCAAAGGACACCTGGAGTAACTATAAACAACACATGAAGTAGACTTTTAAGAAAAAACTATTACAAAAGAAAAAAGAAGACATTATATATTAATAAAAGTGGCCAATTCATCAAGAATATATAGCAATTATATACACGTTTTAAAAATAGCCTCATAATAAATGAAACAAAAATTGCAAAATTGAGGGGAGAAACAGTTGTACAATCACAGTTGGAGACTTCAACAGGTCACTTTCAGTAATAGAACCACCAGAGCAGAAATCCCTACAAAAATAGAGAATATAAATAGAATAAACTAACTAAATAAAATAAATTAATAGAGCAAGGAGACACAAAGAGACTACTCCATCTAATAATAACAGAATTCACATTATTCTCAAGTGTAATGAAATATTTTCCAAGACAGAAAATATACTGGGCTGTAAAACATGTATCAATAAATTTAAAAAAGAATTACAATCATAAAATCTTCTCTCATCACAATAAAGTGAAACTACAAATTCATAACAAAAGAAAAACTGAAAAATTTACAATTAGAAAATTAAAAAAGAATGGATCATTAGCCCGTGGGGTCCTACGATGGGAGGGCCCCAAGGAACTTAGTCCCGCCCCCCTGCTGCCTCCCCCACTGCAACATCTTACAATGCCTTAATAGCCACGTGTGTTTCTACGGGATGTGTAACTTATTTGCTCATGTCCTTCACCAAATTTCTCCTTAGATTATTCAAATTCAGAATATTTTTTTCATTGAGGATGTTAATCTTTGTGTTAAACTGGTTCCTTATCAATTGGCTTTAAAATTAAATTGTGGGGCCGGCTCGGTGGCGCACCCACCGAGGGTTCGGATCCCAAATAGAGACCGGTCAGCTCACTGGTTGAGTGCAGTGCGGGCGTGACACCGAGGGTTGCGATCCCGTTGTCGGTCACGAAAAAAGACAAAAAGGAAAAAAAAATTAAATTGTGTTTTCCTTCAAAAAAATAAAAATAAAAATAATCTTTGCTAGAAAAAGACATTTTCCTATGGTTTTGCTAAAAATGTACATTCGCATTCAAGAACAGCTTCTCTGATTTCTTTACACTCAGACAACTGCAATTGAATTTTAGCCAGTAACTGATTTTGTTGAAACACTGGGGGATGGCAATTTTACTCTTGTCAACTAAGCCTTGGAATCATGAACAGATTTTGATGTCAGGAGCTATTCATACATTAAACTGAAATATTTCACTTTGGAAACTGACTGACAATTTTAATAGATCTTAAAATCATTCAGCAATGTACTGATTTACTACTCTAAATTATCTACTGTGTTAGAAGATCTTGCATTCAGTCGTACTAGCAACTAAGATTTTCATCTAATTTCAATCAGTATTTTAAGTGTTAACCCCCAAATTGTTACATGGTACAAGCTGTCCGTTCAGTTCCTGATAACCTCCTTCCCCTGAAACTGGGTAAGCAAGTATTTCAACTGCCCATTTCAATTCCAGTCAGTCCACTCTCCTGTGGGTGGTAAGGTATATACCCCCATTACCATATGACTCTTCACAGCACACTGTTACACTCTACCTGTCATCAAATGGATTACTTATTTGGATAATGATACATAAGGAGCAGGTTTAGATAAAATAACGCTTTCTGCTGTGAGCCTCTAATAGTGTTTGCTTCCATTGCTGGATATGCAAATCTAAATCTAGAATAAGCATCCACATACCCATTAAGACCCTTGGGCTAATGCAGTCCATCTGCCAGCTATGGGTCATCCTGGACTTTCTCTGAAAGTGGCTGGCCAATGACTGATTTTAGTGTCTGATGTTTTTACTGACAAACCATAAATATTAGTCACATTTTGAGTTTGTGAGAGATATAGCAGGAAAAATCTTTTTTCTGCCCTAAACTAGTATATTTATGACTATGTTTATTTCTATCCAAAGATTCATATTAAATAAGAAGAAATTTGAAATAATAATTTACACAAATTCAAAATTTCTCTTACTATAACATTTATGAGTTCAAATTTCATGTGATCACATGGAATTTTTAGTGAGTGCACATAGGTGACATCTAAATTATACCTGATAAAATGGCTGGAGAGAGAAAAGTGTGTGGGGGTGGGTGGGGGTAAGAAAATTTAAAAAAAAGGTACTCTTATAAACCATGGGTCAAAGAAAAAAATCATAAAGAAAATTAGAAAACATTTTAAGATAATGAATCAATATAAACTTAGAAAAGA